CTGTAACTACAAATGCTGCTAACTAGGCACACTGTGCTACCTTGCAGTTGTGCCTAGTTACAAATGTCTTTGTTGGTTTGCAACATTGCTTATGGGTAATGGTGACTGGTGGAGAAGATAGAGGACAAGAGGCAAGAGAACAAACTTGTAGTTGTTGTGATCATTTTTAGAAACTTAGGGAGTAAAAACTGATTTTAAAACTGTTCATGCATATAATTGAAACTTCATAAATAAAAACAGCCCAGGCTATCTGGGCCCACTTTTTGAAAGAAGTGGTCACTCAGTCTTCATTGCATCATATCTACCCCAGGTCACTGAACTCTTGTGCAGATAGCTGTCCATCTCTCTTCCTACCTTTTCTGGAGACTTGGGCTCAGAAACTTCTTTCAGCAAGTATAAGTTTATATTGATTTCAGTCAGAGTCCAACCACATTATATTAGGAAAATTTATAATTGGAGGTATGCTCTTTCTTTTTTCTACTTATTTGAAGACAAGAGAATTCTACAAAGCCATGGATGTTCTGTAACTCACTAGGCAGAACAAGTTGGCCACAAACTGAAAGAGATTGGTCTCCTACTATCTGCCAATTGCTGGGATTACAGGAATGTACAATAGCTATGTGAGATGTTTTTTAATGACCTATATATAAATCAGAGAATGAAATGATGAAATGAGATATTTAAAAGGTGCCATCATTGTTTTGATGATCAGTAATACTTCTAGAAAATCTATAATAGTTTAAATTTACAAATCAATTAATATGTTCTCAATAATTATTTTCTTAGCTTTGTTAACGTCTATTATAAAATGTTTGAATGATGCTTGTGTGTATATATACCTATATTGTGGTATGTGGAATTGAGAGAACACCTTAGAGTTGTCTGTATCTACTTCTCCCATGTGAGTCCTGGAGATGAAACCCAGGGAGTTGTTTGACTGAATGTGACCTCAGTGGCCCATTTTTGGATTGAAAAATTCTTCATGTGTGTGCTGATGCACGAGTGTGTATATGCCTCAGGCCAAGCATAGAAGTAAGAGAAATATTTGTAGGAGTAAAATGGGTCTTCCAGAGATTGAACACAAATGAGGACTACCAGAAACAAAATTTACATATTGAGCCATTATGTGGTGTTCATCCGTGGTTCTGAGAAAGGGCTATGAAAAAGGGTTTAGTCCTCAGAATAAACTAACATGATCTAAACAAAAGATAGCAGGATATAATTTTCATCAACAAATGTGATTTATTATAGCAATTGTACTATTATCCTCGATCCTTAGATAACAATATTTTTACAATCTGAAAAGATTCCAAAATATTCCTGATATAATATTTCACCTAATCTTATTTGAGCATCAAGGAGACAGCTCAGTGGGAAATGTCTGTGGTGTGCAAGGCAGAAACCTGACCTTGATCAGCATATGAGGATGGCCTAAAGAATATCCCTCAAAATAGTCTTCCAGATTCCAAATATCTGCCATGGCCCATAAAACAAAAATCACATTAGGGACACACAATTAGGACATACAAATGTTTTTGCTTTTTAAAAATAAATGTCATTGCCATTGCATTATCTAACATCTCAAGACATCTCAAAAGGTAGTACTTAAAGGTGAAGTACCAAGTGGATAAGTAATGGGGACATGAAGAGGCATGAACACAAAAGAATAGAAACATATCCATAGCTCATCAAGCTATGTCATGCAATATATAGATGATTGCTTCTTATACTATTTTATAACATCTCTACCATACAGATGAAAATGAGGATTTGGATACACACATTAGGTTTTTTTGTTTGTTTGTTTGTTTGTTTTTTGTTTTTGTTTTTGTTTTTTGAGACAGGGTTTCTCTGTGTAGCTTTGGAGCCTATCCTGGCACTCGAGATGGAGACCAGGCTGGCCTCAAACTCACAGAGATCCACCTGCCTCTGCCTCCCAAGTGCTGGAATTAAAGGCGTGCGCCACCAATGCCTGGCTGATACACACATTAGGTATTTGATGTTGTTCTCTTCTATTAAGCACTTTGACATATAACGCTAAAATTTTTGACAAAACAGCACACTTTAGGGGCACAACTTCTATCACTGGACTTGTACTTGTACTCAGGAGGCCCAAACATGAGAAGCAGGAGTTCAGTTGTAGCCCTGTGTAATCACTGGCATCCAAGTAATACTGGATAACAAAAGGACCCATGGAAATGTATGAAAACATGGAAAGCAAAACCATAAACAACAACACACTTTCACAGACACACTTACTTGAAAGTTGTGATTGAACATTGCCTGATATTTAAATAAATAAAGGACCATTAGGTGACAGGCATCCCATTCTATACATTGCAACAGAGAAACACCTATCAACCATGCAAAACTACAATAGAAGATGAACAGAAGCCACAGAAGGAATATAAGAACTTGCCAAAAATTGCAGTAAATGGATTTGACAAAAATAGGGCAATCTTCAATGACTACTCCAAATGTTTCAAAATACAAACCACAATTGCAATTGTTGATCTTCATCATTACACTTTGGTGAACATGGCAAAAGAATTACTTTCTTTAAGGTTACAAAAAATATGAAAGAAGATTTTTTTTTCTTGAAACTGAAGGTAACTGAGATTTCTAAATTCTTTAGAAAATAATTTACTTGAATAGGCTTTAAAAAATCATGTACAAGTTCTTTTCAGTTTCCTGACATCATGATGATATAAAGGGGTCTGGAGAGATGGCTCAGATGTTAAGAGCATTAACTGCTCTTCCAGAGGTCCTGAGTTCAATTCCCAGCAATCAAATGGCGGGCCACAGTCATGTAAAATGAGATACAGTGCCCTCATATGTTGTGGAGAAAACCTGTACACAGAACACTGTATACATAATAAATAAGTCTTAAAAAGAATATAAGTCAGGTTAGGCATGGCAGTGTGTACCTGTAATACCAGCACTCAAGAGTCAGAAACAGGAGGGTCATTTTGAATTCAAGGCCCCTGAGGTGCATTCTTTTTTTTTTTTACTTGAGAAATGATATTTATTTTTTTAATTTGAATTAGAAACAAGATTGTTTACATGTCAATCCCAGTTCCCACTCCCTCTCTTCCCCCCTACCATCCCATCCTCAACTAAAACCCTACTTATCACATATCCTTTTTGCTCCCCATGGATGGTGAAGCCTTCCATGGGGGGGTCATCAGAGTCTATCATATCCTTTGGGATAGGGGGTAGGCCCACCCCCATGTGTCTTGGCTCAGGGAATTTCCCTGTATGTAAATTGGGCTCCCAAAGTTCACACCTATGCAAAGAAAAGTACTGAACTATTACAGAAGGTCCCATAGATTTCTGAGGTCTCTTCACTGAAACCCACGTTCCTGGGGTCTGGATCAGTCCCATGCTGGTATCCCAGCTATCAGTCTGGGGACTAAGAGCTCCACATTGTTCAGGTCCGCTGTTTCTGTGGGTTTGACCAGCCTGGTCTGGACCCCTTTGCCCATCACTCGTTTTTCTCTGCAACTGGATTCCAGTTCAGTTCAATGATTAGTTGTGGGTGTCTGCTTCTACTTCCACCAGCTGCTGGATGAAGGCTATAGGATGGCATATAAGACAGTCATCAATCGCATTATCAGGGGATGGCATTTAATGTAGCTTCTCCTCTGTTGCTTAGATTGTTAGTTGGTGTTATCTTTGTAGATCTGAGGTATATTTTTTAAAAAATGTATGATGTATAAAGGTTTTAAAATAGTTTCAGGGCTTGAGACAAGGCCAAGCAGTTAAGTTCATTCCCAGGAACAAAATTGGGTTTTTGGCCACTTCTGATTCCTACAACAAGAGGTCTCACGTTCTTGAGATACAGCATGCCTATACACAAGCACATGCCTACATAAAGACACACTGAAATCATAAGATTAAAATTAAAACAATTCATTAATCAAATCTTTACTCATGAGTGTTTTTCTCATATAAGTATTCATTCCTGTACCTATGATCTAAAGGCAAAGTTTTCCTCATCATGTATTGCTTCATGACACAGAAAACAAACATGTAAGGCTTTAAGTCATAGAAAGCAATCTTCAGTAGGTGGTATCATTTGGGGAGATTTAGAAAGTACTATCCTGCTGGAGAAAATATGTCACTGGGGATGGCTTTGAGAGTTTATATCCGCACACCATTTCCAATAGCCACTCTCTACTTCATGCTGCAGATTGAGAATGTGAGCTCTAAGCTTCCTGCTTTGGCTGCCATGTATGAAACTTCTTGCCAAGCCACTTTCATGGTGATCTTGCAACCATAATCCAATTTAAAGTCTTTCATAAACTGCCTTAGACATTATTCTATATCACAGAATCAAGAAAGGCACTAATATGCATCCATTAAATTTTAAACCTGGAGATTAGTTATTTCATGTAATTGAAGAGAAGTATGAAATCTAAAAAGGTTATCTTATTTACATTAAGAGGCTTTTGTCCATATCAATTTGCATGTACAAACAATATAAAGAATGGCAGCATCATGAATGGACTGTTGACACTTCAGATTTTTTCCTGCAGAATAACTAATTTTGTATAACTGAATGTAATTGCATTAGCTAATGATCTTATAAAAGACATCATACTCACACTGCCTTCAATGTTTATTTCGTGTCCTCAAAGATTATTATTACATGCAAATATTTGAACAGATTGGTTAAACACTACAGGTAATAGTCTTGTATGAAAACTAGCATGAACTTTAAAACAATACCATGCTTACTACATTTATCAGGTTTCTCTGAAGTTTTATTTTTCTCATGATTTCAAAGATTACTGATACATGCAAAGAATTTACCACATTGTTTAAATTCATAGATTTCAATCCAGCATGTCTTCTTTTATATATTCAGAGACAACTCTGTGCATAAAGGCTTTGTTGCATTGATTACATAGGTCACATTAATTATATTAATTAATTTTCTCTCCAGAATGAATTCTTTTATGTGTTTGAAGAGGATGGTGTCACAAAAAGGCTTTATTTCATTGATTACATTTGTAGGATTTCTCTCCATTATGTATTCTTTTATGGCGTTGAAGACTATTGTGGTGTCCAAAAGCTTTATCACATTGATTACATTTGTAGGGTTTCTGTCCAGTATGTGTTCTTTTATGCTGTTGAAAATTATCATGACGTGCAAAGGCTTTACCACATTGATTACATATGTAGTGTTTCTCTCCAGCATGTGTTATTTTATGGTGCTGAAGACTACTGTGGTGTGCAAAAGCTTTATCACATTGATCACATTTGTATGGTTTCTCTCCAGTATGTCTCCTTTCATGAATTTTGAGATTTTGGCAATAGGCAAAGGCTTTACCACACTGATTGCATTCATAAGGTTTCTCTCCAGTATGTGTTCTTTCATGTACTCGGAGATTACTCTGTTGTGTAAAGGCTTTATCACACTGATTGCATTGGTAGGGTTTCTCTCCAATATGTGTTCTATTATGGTGTCGAAGATAACTGTGTTGTGCAAAGCATTTACCACATAGAGTACATTCATAAGGTTTCTCTCCAGAATGTGTTCTTTTATGGTGTTTAAGACCACTGTGCTGTGTAAAGGCTTTATCACATTGATTACATTTGTATGGTTTCTTTCCCGTATGTGTTCTTTCATGTCTTTGCAGATTACTGCAATATGCAAATGCTTTACCACATCGATTACATTCATAGGGCTTCTCTCCAGTATGTGTTCTTTCATGTACTCGGAGATTACTCTGTTGTGTAAAGGCTTTATCACATTGATTGCATTGGTAGAGTTTCTCTCCAATATGAGTTTTTTTATGGTGTTGAAGACTACGGCAGTGTGAAAAACCTTTATCACATTGATTACATTTGTAAGGTTTCTCTCCAGTATGTATTCTTTCATGTATTTGTAGATAACTGTGACTTGCAAAGACTTTACCACATTGAGTATATTCAAAAGATTTCTCTCTAGTATGTGTTCTTTTCTGCATTTGTAGATAACTATGACATTCAAAGGCTTTACCACACCTAATATACTGAGAGGATTCTTCTTCAGATTGAATCTTTTCATGCCTGTGAAAATAATTGTTAATGTAAATGCTCTACCATGTTTATTACACTGATGAATCATTTTACCATAAAAATTAATTTTATAATTAGACTACTTATAAAAGAAATTACATCTTAAGGGTTTCATTTTGTTTACATCTACAGTGCTCCCCTTCATTATGGGCTGTTTTGCATCTTTAAAGATGCCTGTGTTAGTGGAGGTCTTTATTAACACAGTTCACTGTGGTATTGGAATAGCTATAATCCCCATAGTCTCATGTGTTGGAATGCTTGCCTGATAGGTAATGCCTCTATTAGAATATGTGGCTTTGTTTGAGCAGGTGTGATCTTGATGGAAGAAGTATGTCACCATAGAGATTGGCTTTGAAGTTTTATATGCTGAGGCTATGCCCAGGGTGTCACACCATCTCTTTCTGCTACCTGCAGATAAAGAGGCAGAACTCATCTTCCTCTTCAGCACCATTTATGTTTGCATGCCACCATGTTTTCTGCCATAATGATAATAGACTAAGTCTCTACAACTCTAAACCAGTCCCTATTAAATGCTTTCATTTATAAGAGTCATTGTGGATGTAAACACTGTGGTCTTAGTGTCTCTTCACAGCAAGAGAAACTCTAGATAGATACTCCCGCATAGAGCATTCCTTTTCTATATTAGGTTTTTCACATATATTAAGAGAACAGGAAGAACTCAAAGTTTACTACACTGCTTTCATCAATTTTTCTATACTGAGTCATATTTAATTTGCAAAAAGAACCAGGATAATCAAAAGAATTTTCACGTTCCTAGTATGCATAGGGCTTTTCTGCAGTGTCAGTTTGTTGATGTATTCCCAATGAAGTTGAAAAACCAATTAATTGTAAACTTATATTACATTCAGAAGGTATACTCAAAGTGGAGACTAATATATTTTCTACTTGATCTGGAGACAGAGATATGTTGCTTCTTTGCATATCCACATGCTTCAATGGATTGTATCCATTGTGTCACATGATATACCTAACAAAGGAAAGGTTTCCATATCACCTTCACACAGTTCTCCAGAAGAACATTTTTGATTCTCAAAAACTGTCCATATTACTACACTTAGCAAAGTCAATAAATGTATATGAATAATACTAGCTTTACTCTTGACTACTTTCTTATTAGAAAACCTTGAACATATATGAGTTACCTATCAAATGTGTACATCTTGAAATATCTTGGTATTATGAAACAAAATTCATTGGAAGTTCTAGGGCATAGCTCACATAGGGCTATGATTCAAATTGTGATATCAGATAAGGTATTGTTTCTTTGTCTTCTTTCTATGTGGAATGCATTTCAAATACAAATTTACTACCTGACATTGAAGTACATGGTTTAGTGCTAATTTAGTTATCAATAAATTGTAAATATATAAAGCTGTGCTTGTTTACACTATTGCTTCTCTTTAGAACTTCCAGGACACACTAAAATTTCTTCAGAGGCACATTTATATGAGCTGTGCATGAAAATTACCTTCCATGTTGTGTAGATATTTGATCAGGTTCTTCAATATTATTGTCTTCCCAATTGTAGCCTAAATTATAATACCAGAAAATATATGAAACATTTCAGTTATTATGCAAAATTTAAAATGGTACTTTCATTGAACCTCATAACTATGACTGATTTATTGACAATATTCTTCCTCTTTCTCAATCAAAATTACAAAAGAGAATCAATTACCAAGAAAGAGTTGTCCTTATTTAAAAAAAAAAAGGACTATGAATTCATAGTCTTACCTATGTCAGTGAGGTTCCTGTAGGTATCCCGCATCACTTCTTTGTAGAGATTCTTCTGGGAAGTATCCATCAAAGCCCACTCATCCGACGTGAAATTTACATGCACATCATCATAAGTCACTGCATTCTAAAATATCCCAGTACAATGTACAACAGAAAGCATGATATTGACAACACTGTAAATATATACTTCTTTAAAATATATTCATATACTTCTGATGCATTTCGCACTTATTTCATGACAGAAGTTCTAGTGAAATCACATCATTTTAGAAGGAAACCGAATAATGATACTCACCTCTGTCATTTCTACATATTTTGAACAGAATATAGCCTTTCAAGGTAAATGTATCTTAAGAGACATAAGGAGCATGACAATTAAGCAGGTCAATAATACTGGTCACACATTAGGGAAATCATATGAACAATTACTAACTAGAAAAAAGATGGGTGAGGTGGTTGTTTTGGCTCATGCCTTTAATCCCAGCACTCAGGAAGGCCAGGCAGGTGTATTTCTACTGCGAAAAGTCTTTCCGTACACTACTAATATGTATTACTGTCATTGGGTAATAAAGAGCTCACTGGCTCATAACTGAGCAGGAAAAGGTTAGGGGCAAAACCAAACTAAGAGGATGCTGGGTAGAAGAAGGACAAAAGAGAGTTACCAGAGACATGGAGAGAAGAAAGATGGACATTCCATGCTGAGAAAAGTTACCAAGTCACATGGCAAAGCATAGACGAGAAATATGGGTTAATGTAAATGAAAAAGTTAACTAGTAACAAGTTTGAGTTGTTGACCAAGCATTTGTAAATAATATTAAGATTCTGTGTTGGTTATTAAGGAGTGGGTGGTAGAGATAGGAAACCTCCACCTACAAATTGCATTCCAAAGGACTGGAATTCCCAGTAAGACCTGAAAGAGCTTTAAAAAGGTTTCTAAACTCACAGAAACATGTGAAACTTGGCTTCCTAGTCTCATGTTTCTCATGCCAGCCACAGTACTGAAAAAGGTTTCCAGCAGCTGCCTATGAAAGTGCCAGCTACCAGGCACCTTGCACTACAGCCATGCACTAAACTAAGCTATACCAGCAGCAGCTGGCTTAGCAGTTTAAAATTATTCTTATTGTACTAGAAAGAGATTACAGATATACAGTTAAGAAAGACTGAGAGAGACAGAGAAAAAAACTTCTAAACAGGTTAGAGTGTGTTTAAACATATGCATGAGCTTGTGAGTGTAAAGACAAAGTACAGACAATTAAAAAAAATTATAGTTTTAAAGCAATGAAATCCTTAAAAAGAGTATAAGTACTATAAAAGAAAAAAGCCACTAAATGGTGGGAAATAGAGTCTTAATTCTATATGTTATTGTATTGTATTTAAATTATTTGGCTGCTAAGAGACACAGGATAATGAAAGCCAATATAATAAACCTACCTACATGTTTTAGAAATATCCAGAATATAAAACTTAAGCCAAACATATACCTTTTTGGGGGAGAAGTTATGCTTTTAGTTTCACAGAAGAGGACAGACAATTAATTCATTCCAGCTTTAAAAAAAATTAGGTTCCATCAGGGAAGACCCTGAAATCCTGGCTACAGACACAATGCCTCTGTTGCAGTTTGTGAGTTCTATTTCCAAAACAGCTTCAAGGTTGCTGTTGAAGATGGTCCACTGCAAGCATGAGTCTTCTGGTGTAGGGGACAGTGTAAGCCACACCTGCTAGAAGCTGACTACAAGTGTGCTTACACTGTCCCCCACATTCTGGCCCAGAAACCTGGTCTCAATGACACATCAGCTCCAAATGAATATACAGACACTATATTAATTATATTACTGTTGGCAGTTGTTGAGGGCTTCTTACTTTGCTAGCTCTGCCTTAATTATTTAACCCACTTCTATTAATCCATATACTTCCACGTAGTCTTAACGGAAATGCCAGACTTGAAACTCCTTTGCCTGCTACATGATGACTGCTCAGCATCTCCACAGAGAAGAGAGTGATTTCCTGTTTGGCCCTGCTTTTATCCTGCTTCTGCTCAACTACATCACTTCCTGTCTGGTCCATCAGCCAATCAGTGTTTTATTCATTAAGTAATGAGGAAAACATATATACAGAAGACATTACCCATCAGTGCACCCTCACAAAGTACTCCAGCCCCAAACTAACAATTATCCTGATTTTTCAACATTTCCTCAAAGGTGTCAGTGCACCAAAACAACAGGAAGTGGCCTAGGAAATGATGTCCACCTTCTCAAAAACATAGTTAATGGATGCTTATTATCATTTAAAGGAGATTGGTTACAAGTTGTTAATGGTAATGGTCAGGAAAAAAATCTAAACAATGGAGATTAAATTCAGGTATCTAAAGGAACAAAGGGGGATATGATACAAATTTAAGGTTATTTTTCTTATACTGTACATACATTCAACTTTTTAAAAACTTATTTGTGTAAACTGATACCAATTTAAATTTATTTTTTTCTTCTACTTTTGCTAAAGGTATTACCTATACAGCCTTTACCTACACACCTTGTTTAATTATGTATTATGAAGTTTTATTTCTTTATTATGTAAAACAGCTCATGGTGAAACCAATTTACTTCAAAGAGTATGATGGCCATTGAAAAAACTCCATATGGACTTTCCTTCCTTCCTTCCTTCCTTCCTCCCTCCCTCTCTCCCTTCCTTCTTTCCTTTCCTTTCTTTCCCTTCCTTCCTTCCTTCCTTTCTTTCTTTTTCAAGATAGAGTTTCTGTCTAGCTTTGGAAACTGTCCTAGAACTTGCTCTATAGACCAGGATGGCCTCTAACTAAGAGAGATCCACCTGTCTATGCCTCCATAGTGCTTGGATAAAGGTGTATGCCATCACTGTCTGTCGAGTTCTCTTTCTTTATGACAAAAGCTAGCCATTAAGAAAAGAAACTGCCCTAGTTTCAACTGCTAAGAATATGATGTCCAAACTGCACAAGCAGGGCACAAAGTAAAGCAACTTTTGACTTTTGCCAAGACAGGGTAGGATAACCCTGCAGAACTTGCTGCTTCTAAAAAAAAAGTCTCTCAGATATTTTAGGTCTGTAAGTCAAAGTTTGATGCCTCAACATCACAGAAGAACCTAGGGTGACTGTCTAGATAATCAGAAGTCTCTGTGATTAGGTAATGTTATACCACTCCGGGATCTTTGATGGACCTCAGATAGTTATAATTTTACTTAGTTATATAGAAAGTAAATTAGGCACAAAACTTGGAACTCACAAAGATAAGGTAGATAATAGAGTACTTACCCTAATTTTGACAAATACAAATGGAGAAGTTGTTATAAATTTAATTCTTATTTAACTGTTTTTGTTATATAAGGTTGTACTGTGTTAAAAATAAAACCTTTTTACTTAGATAAGAAGGAAGAAATGCTGAAAAACAGTCTTTTTGAATACTATAAGTATGTATAACTCTCATTAGGTAGTAAAGACCTTACTGACCTGTAGCTGGGCAGAATGTGGTTAAGCAGGAAAAAGACTTAAAGGATGTTGGGGGGAAGAAGGCAAATTTTCAGTCAGAGGAGAGTCACCAGAGACACAGAAAGAAGAAAGATGGACATGCTCTACTGAGAAAAGTTACCAAGCCACATGGCGAAACATAGATCAGAAACATGGGAAAATTTAAATGTAAGAGTTAGCTAGTAACAAGCCTGAACTATCAGCAGAGCATCTACACATACTATTAAAATTCCATGTTAGTTATTTCGGAGTGGGAGGTTGGGATAGGAAAACCCCACCTACATATGTCATTGTCTTGGATGCCAGAATGGTCTATGAAAGGAGTTCCAGGACAGAAAGAGATACATATTAAGACTGCCAATCAAACAAATAAACTAGGTATAAAGAACTCATGAGATGTTTACTGAAGTTCTTACACAGATTATGGATTCACCCCTGTTCTATATTCATCTACCAGAAACCTGAAATGTCCTAGTGTAAAGTGCAACCTTACTAAGATGTTGCTAAAAGGGAATGAGTATTCAAAAAATGAGTATTGCAAAGAAATCACTTGTGTCTTTGACTTGATGACACTTACTGTCAAAATTCACCAGTAGGACACAATAAAAGGGACTGATGAACATTGCCAAGACAAGGTAGGACAGGCCTTCAAAATTTTCCTGCTTCTGAAAAAATTATGTCAGAAATTCTAGGCCTGAATGCCAAAGGTGGATACCCCAATGTTACAGAGGAACTTTTGGTGACTTTTCAGGCAGCCTAATATCCCTGTCATTTGGTAACATTTTAATCTTCTGGAGTCTTTGTAGGAGTTAAAGACTACCTAGTTATAGTTTTCCTTTGTTATGCTAGAAGGTAAATTATGTACAAAACTTCAGACTTTAGATAATATAGAAAATATAGAACTTTCTCTAATTTGGCCAAATGCAAATGGATTAGATATTGTTACTGTAATTCTTACTTGATAACTATTTCTGTTACGCATAATTTTACTATGTTAAAGTTAAAACATTCCTTTTTACCAGAAACTGGAAGCAGCCTAGATGCCGCTCAACTGAAGAATGGATACAGAAAATGTGGTACATTTACACAATGGAGTACTACTCAGCAGAAAAAAAAAAAAAAAACAATGGAATCTTGAAATTTGCAGGAAAATGGATGGAACTCGAAGAAACCATTCTGAGCCAGGTAACCCAATCACAAAAGACAAACATGATATGTACTCACTCATATGTGGATTTTAGACATAGAGTAAAGGATTACCAGCCTACAATCTACACTGCCATAGATGCTAGTAAACAAGGAGGACCCTAAGGGAGGCACACATTGTCCCCTGGAGAAGGGGAAAGGGTCAAGATCTCCTGAGCAAATTGGGAGCATGGCAAGTGGGGGGAGGGAGCTACGAGAATGAAAAGGGAAGAAGAGGAAGAATGCAGAGGTCATGAGGGAGCAGAAAGGTTGAGTCAGGTGAAGAATAGAAGAAAAGGTATGTGATAGGTAGGGTTTTAGTTGGGGGTGGTAGGGGAGGACAGGAGGGAGAAGGGAACTGGGATTGTTATGTAAAACAATCTTGTTTCTAATCCAAATAAATAAAGTGATTAAAATAAAAAAGAAAAATAAACTTAAAACATTCC